GTGCCTGCAGCAGGAGACCACCTGTCCCGTGTGCCTGCAGTACTTCGCCGAGCCCATGATGCTCGACTGCGGCCACAACATCTGTTGCGCGTGCCTCGCCCGCTGCTGGGGCACGGCGGAGACCAACGTGTCGTGCCCGCAGTGCCGGGAGACCTTCCCGCAGCGGCACATGCGGCCCAACCGCCACCTGGCCAACGTGACCCAGCTGGTGAAGCAGCTGCGCACCGAGCGGCCGTCGGGGCCCGGCGGCGAGATGGGCGTGTGCGAGAAGCACCGCGAGCCCCTGAAGCTGTACTGCGAGGAGGACCAGATGCCCATCTGCGTGGTGTGCGACCGCTCCCGCGAGCACCGCGGCCACAGCGTGCTGCCCCTCGAGGAGGCGGTGGAGGGCTTCAAGGTGAGGGGCCGGCGGGAGGGGCTGGGAGCCCGAGTCGGACAAAGGGAGGCGAGAGCCAGGGGGGGCTTCCCTTTTTTTCCGCCTAGAAAATGGCTGAGCCGGACGTGTGGTCCACAGCCGTCATTTCCTCTCTCTCTGCTCTAGAATCTCCGTACTTCGATTAGGGAGAAAAACCTGTAGCTGGTGAGCAAGCCAGCTCCCCGCTGTGCCCCCGCTTAAAGACCGCCGCCGGTGGAGAACCACCCCCACCCCACACACATTCCAGAAGGTGTGGGTAAAGTCACACTGCATCACCTTCTGAGAAATAAGTGTTCTTGTGCGCTCTGTTCTCAGACACAACACACGGGACCTCACCTGGCTGTCCGCACCTCACACCTATAAGCAACTCACTAGCAATTCCCTGTGCTCCCGCCCTGTTTGTGGGAAAAAGAATGGAGCTGCAGTACTGGACAAGTCTCGAGCCTCTCCAAGACTTGCACGGGAATAACGGCATGATTATTACCACGGTGACATGAACAATGTGTGGAGCACATTGTGAGTTGTTGAATCAACATGGAAGCAAAGTTGTTAAGAAACGTAACAGCAGCATTCACAGAGAATGCATGATGCCGGGACGCAGAGCTCCCAAAAGTGATTGACAAAATTTCATTCCCTCTGAATTCCATTTTCTACTTAACTTTTTACAGCCCTCTCATATACTTGAGTGATGCGGGACTGCCCAGTCATATTCTTATATGTCTTTCATTGTGTGCACATTAATTAATTCTGCATTCTTCACTTAACATTTAGGATGCTTTCAAAATACAATTTCACCCACCTTCGGGAAAGCCCTCAAGGAGTTGGGGAAGGTGGTGATGGTGTTACACATGAGGAAAATAGAACCTTTTCACAGTGTTCCTCTCGGGAAGAGCCACTGTTTGGCTTTAGTTGCTTTTCTGGCTAAACTATGCAGCCTCCTTCCAGGGCTGGATAGGTAACACACTGTGTATAAGAGAAGCACAAACTGATGGAGAAGTGCTTTGGTAGCCCCACTCACCCGCACTTGGCCGCTGTGTGGGTTCAGGTGTGATGTGCAGAATGGCCACGATGCTGCAGATGAGTTCCAAATCCTGAACTGCCACCTATCTTTTTTCCCCCAGGAGCAAATCCAGAACCAGCTGGACCATCTAAAAAGAGTGAAGGACTTAAAGAAGAGACGGCGGGCCCAGGGGGAGCAGGCCCGAGCAGAACTTTTGGTAAGGGTCATCAATGATTCATTGATAGCCCTGCTTCTACCACGCACTCACTCCCTCTCCTGTGGGCTG